TATATATATATATATATATATATATATACACACATACATTATATTTTCTTTCCATGTTTCCTGAGATTTACCTAAATGTACGAATGCCCTCTAAATGCTTACAATCATCAATCCCACCTCTTTAAACTGCTTCACCCTCTAGTTTGGCCCTGTAGCATAGAGTCATGATGGCGCTGCGTGTGCACAGTCATGGGGTGTGGACGGGCGAGAGTCATCCAGGGACATGCGATTCACCATGTGCAGAGGCTTACTGAGCCATGATGCAGCCCATCAGAGAGCGCAGTAGTACAAACAAACAAAGACACGGCTAATGGCTAATTAGCGAGCTATCCAGCGCCGGTTTAGATACTGGGAACGCTCAGAGGGGATATCAGCTTCGCCTCTCTGCTTTACATTAGCCGAGAAATGTTAGTGCAAGCGTGTGTGGACATGACGGTAATTGGAATGGCTTCACTTTGAGTGCTTTCACAACTAAAGGAACGATTTCAGAAAGAAACGCATTATCAGCAGTGTACTAAACTTTTCAAACTTGTTTTGACAAACAGCTTCAGCACTAAAGGAAATGTTTTGCTGGCTGACCTTGCCAGGACTGCTGCTGCTTCCTGAGAGGCGTAATGTTTTGACCACTACAACAGGAAGCCTTTAAAAATTCACATTCAAGTTGTCTGTAATGCCCCCTCGTGCTTTACGATACACGCGCCTCTCCAAGTAATGAAGTGAAATTGAATTACAAGGCCATCCCTCATGTTGGAAATCTTTGTTGGGCCTTTCAAGTGCACTTTGATGCGAAAGACCCATTGAATTAAAAGCTCTTTAGGCCTGTCACTTTCTCTTCTTCTTTTTTTTTTTCGTCGGGAGACTGAAAATCCCGTTGGGCAGTTCATCTTGAATAATATTTGTATAGTATTTTTAAGATGAAAAACCCTCACTTAGAGTAGGAGCTTCTTCCTTCAGTATTCATATCCCAGCGGACAACGAGGAGGAACAACAGCTGGAGGAAATTATGCATGAAAAGCTCCGCTCCTTTATTAATTACCCACTCATGCAATTAATTGACTTTCTTTTCCTGTGAACTTTGTCTCTCTTACGTCTCTTCGCTCCCGCTCTTTTCGAATAGCAAAACCAAATTAGTCATAAACCGAATAAACAAACAGATTGACAGACTTAGCATTGCTTCTGTTTACCCAGCAAGTACCTATTACAGCACGAGGCTCCCAGTGACCATGTTTTCACGAGTTCCCAATCAACTGCTTTATTTAAAGTTCATTTTTATTCGTACTTAGGGAAGGCTTAAAGCAAATCTAACTTCTATTATGAGATATTTTATTATAACCTGGTTGTAAATGTTATATATATATACAGTATATATATATA